GTTTTTGTTACAAAACTTCTACTTTTACAGTTGTGACAGTCACAATTAGTCATGATAACAATTACTCACTACTGAACCATAAGAATCTTATCCCCATCTCGTTTAACCAGACTCATCTAGACAAGATGAAAACTATTCAGTGGGGACACTTTCTTTTCCCACACACTATTAAACTGAGCTCCCCCTTGAAACTTTGTAAGCCAGTCACTTCATGCCTTCATTGCCCCCTCATTTTAGGTAGCCAATGTCTAAGTTACCCATCCCTATCCATATTAACTGGATGCTTCACTCTCAGCTCTAGCCCTCTGTAGCTATGTCCTTGTCCATAGGCTCAGGTGTCCCCAGGTGTCACCATATTTTGGACCAACCAGCCCTTCTTCTTCTCTCTCTCATCTCTAGGTCTACGGGAGTCTGTGGAGTATGGTTGAACTCAGCCCATTTCTTCATTGCTGCCTTTCCGCCTCTTCCACTCACCAGTAGACCAACATGGGCACCAGCAAGCTTACATGACTGCTCATGTGTTCCCTTTGTGTTTCAGTCTTAGAGCGGTGTTTGTCCTGAAGGAATTTGATTGCTTGCCTTGATGCTTCCCAGAGAACAACTTGCTTATTCTTGCACTAACCTGTCATACTGCCATTTTTGTTTTGGGTTTTTCCTGTTGGTCTTTCTTTGAAGATGTATGTTCTGTCGCTCTATCTGTTCTAGGCTGGTCAGCTCGTCCTTTCTAGTGGAAATGTCCCATCTCAGAAGGTTCTGGATAGGGCTCAGGATTCCATCTAAGGTCCTATACACTGCAAAGGCTCGGCAGGAGGCCTATTTCACTGGGGAATTTCTTTTAGGTATTCCAATCAGTTATAGGCTGAAGACAAGATTTCTGTAATCATGTTTCTTTACATTCCTTTCTATCCAACTCAAATTTCAATTTTACAATAGTAGGAAAGGGAAACCAAGACAATCAAGCATCTTAGTATTATTTTCCCTCTTCAAACTATGCCTTGATCCCTGTATCACAGAGCCCTGTTGTGCCAACTGACTTTTTGGTTTCTCCTGAGAGTATGGTGCTGAGTTCCTAGGCCCAGTGACCATTCCCTCAATATGATTTGCTATGTCAAAGAAATGTACATAAGTTTGCCACTTGTATGTTTCACTACTTACATGGATACATTTAGAGTAAAGGTAAATATCCATGCACAAATATCCTTTGTCAAATATACATAGAGAGAGAGATAAATAATTTGCTAAAGATAATCTAAAAATGGCTGTAACAGTACATTAACATAGAACTGCCAGAGGTACAAGCTGTATTCAGACTAGGACCTGGAATGAGGGCTATCACTGCTGACTTCAGATGGATCCTGGATGAAAGCAGAGAATATTAGAAGGAGGTTTACCTGTGCTTTATTCACTATGCAAAGGCTTTTGATTGTGTGGATCATGACAAACTATAGACAACACTGCATAGAATGAGTATTTGGAAACTTAATTGTGCTCACGAGGAACCTGTTCCTAGACCAAGAGGTAGCTATTCAAAGAGAACAAGACAACACTGAATGGCTTTAAAGTAGGAAAGGTTTGCATCAAGGTTGTATTCTTTGACCATACTTATTCAGTCTGTATGCTGTGTGAATAATCCAAGAAGCAGGATTATTTGATGAAGAATATAGCACCAGGATAGGAGAAAGACTCATTAACAGTCTATGATATGCAGATGATACAACCTTGCTTGCTGGAAGCAAAGAGGATTTGAAATACTTACTGATGAAGACCAAAGATTTTGGCATTCAGTTTGGATTGCACCTTAATGTAAAGAAAATGAAAATACTCACAACTGGACCACTAAACAACATGATAAATGAAAGAAAGATTGAAATTCTCAAAGGATTCCTTTTGCTTGTATCCACAATCAATGCTCATGGAAGCAGTCATCAAAAAATCAAATGACATATTGCATTAGGCAAATATGCTGCACAAGATCTCTTTAAAGTGTTCAAGAGCAAAGATATAAGTTTGAAGACTAAGGTGCACCTGACCCAAGCCATAGTGTTTTCAATAACCTTATTTATATGCATTTTTGAAATTTGGACAATGAATAAAGATGACCACAGAAGAACTGATGCGTTTGAATTACGATGATGTAGGAGAATATTAAAAATACCATGGACCTCCAAAAGAATAAACAAGTCTGTGTTGGAAGAAGTACAGCCCGAATGTTCGTTAGAAGCCAGGATGGCCAGACTTCACCTCTCATACTTTGGACATATTGTCAGGTGGGAGCAGTCCCTGGAGTAGGACATTATGCTTGGTAAAGCGGCTTGTCAGTGACAAAGGATGACCCCTAATGAGACATATTGGCATATGGCAGCAGCAATGGGCTAAAGCATAGCAATTATTGTGAGGCTGCTGCAGGACCAGCAGTGTGTCATTTATTTTTTACATAAGGTCACTATGAGTTGCTGCCAACTCGATGGCACCTAACAACAACAACAGTCACCCCAAAATTATTAAAACTCCCCATTCACATGGCATTTTTAAAATTATGAAATAAAATAAATAGACCTTATCAATCAGCAGTCTTCATATGGAAAATACAAATGTTGTTGTTGTTGAGTGCTGTCGAGTCGGTTCTAACTCATAGTGACCTTGCATAGGGTTTCCTAGGAGTAGCTGGTGGGTTCGAACTGTCAACCTTGTGGTTCACAGTTCAGTGCTGATCCTATAGCACCACATCAGGAAAACGTCAATACTCATAAATATTCTGTCATCTTCTGCTTCTACTGATTTTACTGTAGTTCCTGAAGTTACTAGGGTCTTTTCATTCTTATTTTAGATATTCTGAAAACAACAATTGAAAATATCATAGTCTTAAAACATGAAAGAGTAAAAGAGAAGCTTAGTTACCTCTCCTCTTCGTATGCCCAAAGTAATATCTTGCACTGCAGTTGTCGTTTTGAAAAAGCTTTGATAGCTTTTACTAAGGTTATATAACACAAGAATGTCTCCACTGGTTCTTCCTTCAAAAACCCTCATTTGCTCTTTTTCAACATCAATATCCTTAGAAGTTTTCACTGTGCCTCTGAATCCAGAGGGACCCCTGAAAAGATAAAATCAGAAATAATTCAGGCCTGGAACACTCCACAGAGACAGATTGGTCAGAAATCTATAAAAAAAAAAAAATTAAGATATCATCTTTAGACCACTGCAAAAGAAAGAAGCAAACAATGAAAATCTGTTGTTGTCAAGTTACTTTTGATTCCTTGCAAATTCAGGTATTAATGAAAATCAATGATCCACAGGGTTTTCTTTACTAATCTCCATTGAAGCAGAATGCCAGACCTTTCTGCTGTGTTGCTACTAGGTAGGTTCAAACTATAAACCTTTACGTTAACAGCTAATTGCAAACCACTTGCACAATTCAGGCTTCTCCAGATATCTGCAGTATCCTGCTATTCCTGCCATCTGACTGCTAATTACCCGCAATAATCAATTTTCACTTACTAATCTGAAGAAAGCATGTATATTCTAATAAGACACTGAAATGGATCAGCAGAAAGGTACTTTCCAATTTAATGAATAGTAAAGAAGCTATCATAAAAACAATCATGTGCAGCGAATTTGTGTAACTACTTTTAGAAATGTAACTAATTAAACAGAGTTGATTGTATATGCTGCTATCATATGCTATCATACCACTGAGTATGAGTCCAACAGAGCAACACTGTAAGACAGAGTAGAAACTGCCCCAAAAGGCTTCCTACAAATTGCATATAAAAGTACTCAGATTTTGTTGTCATATGCTATATATTGAATTGTTTAAAGGGATAATACAGCAAGCACACTGTACAATGCTTTGAACATTGTATTCAAGAATGGGAGGGGGTTCATAAAGTTGGTGGGAAAATTCCATTATCTTATAATTTCATTTTACACAAACATTTTGAAGCCCTCTCATATTTGAATGACAAGTAAAAATTTCATACCGAGCATTCACTTTTCAGTATTCTCCATAACTTACATACATACATACAATGTATCCTGTGATTTCTGGATGGCTCACAGAAGGAGAAATCAAGAAATTTAATGATGTGTCATATTAAGCAAAAAGGTTGGTGGTTCAAGCTCACCAGCTGCTCCTTGGAAAACCTTTACAGAGTCGCTATTGGTCGGAATCAACTCGACAGCACTTAACAACAACAACAACTACAAAAGACCTCTTTAAAGAGCAATGATGTCAGTTTGAGGACTAAAGTGCTACTGATCCAAGCTGTGGTATTTTCAATTGCCTTACATGGCCGTGAAAGTGGGACAGTGAATAAGGAAGACTGTAGAAGAATTGATGAATTTGAATCATGGTGTTGTCAAAGAATGTTGAAAGTATCATGGACTGCCAGAAGAACAAACAAATATTTCTTTGAAGAAGTACAACCAGAATACTATTTACAAGTGAGGATGGCAAGACTTTGTCTCTTGTACTTTGGACAAGTAGGGACCAGTCCCTCAAAGAGAACATGATGCTTGGTAAAGTGGAGGGTCACCAAAAAAGAGGAAGGTCCCCAGTGAAATGGATTGACAGAGTGGCAGCTATAATGGTTTCAAATTTAACAATAAATGTGAGGATGGTGCAGGACCAAGCAGTGCTTTATTTGTTGTGGATAGGGTTTCTATGATTCAGAACCAACTCGATAGTCCCTAACAAGAACAGTATATGATTTTTTATCTGTGGTTTTTAACTTGAACATTGTCAATTCCCCTGTAAAGTACAATATACTAATGTTTTAGTGATTTCAAAGTTATAGGCCACTGAGTTAGCATCGTATCACCAGTTTCCTGGTTTTATATATGTGCTATAGTTATGTCATGTTATCATTGGAGAAGTAGTTGAATGAACAATAGGAACTCACAATATAATTTTGCAACTTTTAGAAGTCTTGAGCTATTTCAAAATAAAATACAATAATTACTGTCAGCTCCTGGTGTGGTGCTGTGGGTTAATGTGCCAGACTGCAAAACCATTTGAAGTGCAAGTTCAGTGGTTCAAGCTCACCAGCTGCTCCTCAGAAACCCTATGGGTCAGAAATGACTCGATGGCGTTTAACAACAACAATAACAACTGTCAGCTCCAGGACCTCCAGCTTGTTTTCTTGTATTATTTTTCTGTACCTATAATCACCATTTGGCAAGTATATCATTTATACCACAAACAACATAGACGATGAGAAAAGTACAGATTGCATAATTCCATTTCTTTGACACTCAAAAGCATGAACAAAGAATCAGTGGATATAAAAATAGTGATTAATTATAGGGCAGTTATTGATTGGAAAAAGTCTAAAAGGGAAATAAAAGATAATGGTAATTTTCAATTTATTAACAGTGAGAGGGATTACATAGTAAAACTGTTAAAATGCACTGAATTTCATATTTTTCTGTAAGAATATGACTTCAAAAAACAATTTACTTCTTATGAAAGGGGGATGAAGTATAAACCAGACTCCTCTTATCCCTTCCCAGATGACGATATTTCTGTTTCATTTTCCTTCTAGGGAATGTTTTGTTTTTTATTTATGTATTTATTTGAATTTTTCTTATGAAAGGAGTGAAGGTTTACAGAGCAGATCATCAATTTTACATTCAACAAAACACACAGTCATGGGAGTTCGTTCCAGACCTGAAGGGTGACAAAGGCCCAGGCTCTCAGGATTTCACCAGTCCCTATCTGACCAGTACGCTTGGATTTTTTTAGGATTCAGTTTTGTTCTAAGTTTTCTCCTACTCTTTCCAGGACCTTCCAGTATGATCCATTTTAGAGTAGTTGGTAGTGGTAGCCAGTTCTTCTGGTCTTAAGGTTGTGAAGACTGAAATTCACAGTCTATTAATCCACTGAACTAACAGTTTACGAGATATTTACATTTTAATCATTTCTGTTTCCTCCAGCCAAGGAGAGACAAATAGGTGCACCTTAGATGATCACTCACAAGCTCTTAAGTCCCCATTTACTACTCACCAAAGTAGGATATACAGTATTGTCTTTGTGGACTAGGCTATGTCAACTGAAAATGGTGTTGCCTTAAGACTATGATCCTGAGCCCCAAGTCCATCGATGCTGCCTTTGGCCAATTCATCTTGCTGGGGGTCTTCCTCTTTTTCTCTGACCCTCCACCTTAACAAACATGATATGCTTCTACAGTGATTTATTCTTCCTGACAATATGTCCGAAGTATGAGAGATGAAGTTTGGCCATCCTGGCCTCCAAGGAGCACTCTGGCTGCATTTCTTCCAACACGGATCTATTGGTTCCTTTGGCAGCCCATGGCACTTTCAGTATTCTCCTCCAACACCGTAACTCAAAAGCATGAACTCTTCTACGGTCTTCCTTAGTCACTGTCCAGCCTCCGCATGCATATGACGGACGTTATTGAAAATCCCATGACTGTCATTTTTTGTGGTGCTGCTGATTTCTTTTTTCCACACACTTTTTTTGAGCTGAGTTAACTTTGTAAGTTTCCTTGTTATCTTTTTCACTGGCATTATTAAATGTTTATTACATTTTTATGATTTCCCTCTTTTCTTATTGATTGGGTTTATTAATTTACTTTACAATTACCCTGTAATTGATTACTTTCTTCCCAAGTTTAAGAAAGTCTATTGTTCCATCTTGAGATCTACTTGATTTCCTCATCATTTGGAAATTCTATAATTACACTAGTACCTCTTTTTGGTTTGTAATTGCCTTCATTATAAATTGATATCTCTGGTTCTCTATTTTCATTCTTATAGGTTTGCTTCTTAGAGACCTAGTGTGGTACTGTAGGATACGCACTGACAGCTAACTTCAGGGTTAGCAGTTCAAATTCACCAGTCACTCCTTAGAAACTCTATACAGAGTCCCTATGAGTTGAAAACAACTTGATAGCACTTAACAACAACAAAAACAAGAGTCTTGTTTTACTTTGGATATCTGTATATCGAGGTTGACTTTTGGGTGGTGTTGTCATGCATGTTGATTTCATATTTTGCTGTCCAAAGAACTCCTGTCATACTTTTTGTAATTGCTATGTTGTTAAGTGTTGTTGAGTTGGCTCCAAGTCACAGTAAGCTTTTATAGGGTTTAAAGGCTGGAAATCTTTGCAGGAGCAGAAAGTCTCATTGTTCTCCTGTCGAGTGGCTGGTGAGTTCAAACTGCCCATTTGTGCTTCATGGTCCAGTACTTATCCTACAGAGCCACCATGCTCCCATATCTTTTTAAAATATTGGTCTGTTTTTTACAAATTCCTTAAATTTCTGTTTATCTGAAAATGTCCTAAATATGCTGTTATATTTAAGGGACAACTTTCTGAGTGCATAATTTTTTATTGGCAATTTTTTCTTTCAGAGATTTACATATGTCATTCCATTGCCTTCTTGCCTGCATGTTTTCTACTGAGAAATCAGAGTTAAATTTTATTGGCACTCCTTTGTAGGGAACATTTCGTTTTTCCTCAGCTGCTGCCAGGATTCTGTTCTTGTCTTTAGTTTTGGAACGTTTCATGATTTCCTTGATGATTTTCTTTTGGGGTCTATCCTATTTGGGGTTAATTCAGCTTCTTAAATACTCATCTTCTCATCTTTCATGATTCTAGGGAAGTTTTCTTCCAAAAACTCTGATAATTTATTGTCTCTTCCTGCTCTGAAATTCCAATCAGCCATAAGCTATTCCTTTTGATGGTGTCTCACATAAATCTTAGGTTTTTAAAAAATGTTTTCAGACTTTTCTCTGATTGATCTTCTGGCAGACTGATTTTGAGAGATTTGTCTTCAAGTTCACTTATTCAGCCTTTCATTGATTTGAATTTACTCCCTTTCCCTTTCAATGTATTATCCATTTCTGTAATCTTTCTATTTGAGACTTTTGCACTATTTCTAATTTTTCATTTACTTTGTCTGTTGGTTCTTATAGTGTTGTTCTGATTTCTTCTGAAGATTTATTTCTGTGTTCTTGCTTTCACCAGCAGCTTTCTCAATCTTTCTCTCAGTCTATTGAAGGCATCTAAATATCATTCTTTTTGTATTCTTTATCACATAGTTACAATACATTTTCTTTCATACAGAGATTTT